AGGAGTAATTGTGTATTTGATTGCTGTTGTGTGGCATTAAAATGTATGTGAATATTCTCTACCTCCTGAGTTTGCTTCAGAGTTCAGTTTTAGTATTGATTCATCATTGAATGACTTCAAGTAACCATAGCATCTGAATCATCTCATAGCCATGGTAACCTTCCACCCATTCCTTGGAAAGTCATCCTGCTAAAGCACATATCTACTGTCTACCTTGCCTGCAAAAAAACCCCAATAGATGGCTGATACTGTAATGAGGCATTGACGGTGATGGGCACTTTGCTGTTGTAGCAGGTCAGCTGAAGGGCACTCAGTTAAAGCAAGGTTGTATGATTTCATACAGAAAAGAGGACGTTCTTAGAAGTGTTCAGCAAAGGCAGGGTGTTTTGTTTCAGGTCAACCATTTGTAAATCCTGATGGGACGCCGGCAATATACAACCCTCCCAGTGGCCAGCAGACGATGAGGAGCCAGATGGTGGGACAGTCTCAGCAGCAGCCTTCATCCCAGCAGCCTCAGCAGGTTCAACAGCCACAGCAGCAAATGGCAAGTCACCTTGTCACACAGGTAGGTGTGGTGGCCATTGGAAAAAGAGAAGAAGCTCTCAGGGATACAAAGGATGACCTAAAGGGTAGGAGGGAAGGATGCGGCTAGACAAAATGTCAGGATGTTCTTTTGTTTTGAGACACATGGGGCCCATGGTCTGTGTTTTCAATGTGGATGAAACAGATGGAGAGGGAAGATTCCTTTTTCAATTCTATCTCAAGGATGTTTAATTTTGAAAAGGACTGTTAAGCGAGTTGGTGTACGTTTACATAAATTTATTTTGCAAAAATCGCCCATAAGCGACAGCTGAAGCATTCATTCTCAACCTCGTGCAGTCTGTAATTCTCTCCAGAGAGCTGAGGACTTCTCCCTGTCCCTTTCGACAGCAGTGGGATTGAGTCAAAGAATCAAGTGCAACGCAGGGCTCTTCCATGTCCAGTTGTATCAGGCCCGATCTATGGGTAGCCCACTCTCCGAGCACCCCTGCCCCAGATTGTGGGTCTTCTGCCTGCACCCCATGTTCTGGCCAGGACCCTGAGCTAGAAGTTCTGGAGCTACAGCTGGAGAGGAGAAGAGCAGCGTAGTTTGGGCACAGTGCCACCGCATGTCGGCTCTCTGGGGCCTGGGCTGGCTGTGGCATATGGCCAGACGTGGCCGAGCATGGGCAGCAGGGTTTGGGTCTTGTTCAAACTTAATTTTGTGGGTTGTGTGCCTGCTCTTCCAGAGCAGGCGGAGGGCACTACTCAAGCAAGAGTCCTACATCCTGCTTACTTGCAGAGCAGCCAAGATCTATTGTGGTTCTTGTGTGGCTTTATAATTCAGCACAGTTTCATCCCAGGTTACCCAGAAATACAGTGTTCAAATTCAGTGAAGTTGCTTTGATTTTACTGGGTTTGGACTTACGTGCTTGTGGCTCTTATTCCTTGGTTTGGTCTTAGCGGTATTGGAAGACGGAGGTAGTACCAAACCTGTGTAATACTCAAATTAAATGAGAGATTAAAATGAAAGGAATAGTAAAGCTATTCCAAGGTAATAGTGCTGTAGAAAATTGTTTTTTCACTTAGATAAACATCTGCTCCGAGCTGACGGGCCTGTCTGTTGGTAATTTGCAGCCTGTTCTTTGTCAATTTTTTTTAGCTATTGTGTTCTGCCAAAGCAGCTTTACAATCATTATTCCTTTGCCTATGACACACTCGGAGTTAAATCAGTCATTATCAGCAAAATTCAAATATGCACTTATACTGTGCTGCTCTTCCATTTTATCTCTGTAAACTAGATGTAGACTCATAATTTGGCTTTGTCTCACATCAATAACAAGAAGGTATAGCTGTGGCTTTATTTAATCTACCAGCCATCAAATATATGAAAATAGGCAGAAAGATCTGTAATAAAGAGTTGCTTGGTATAAGGCTAAAATGAAGACTAAAACCGCAGTACCTGACCTCTTGTACTTGGGCTGATGATGAGTCACCTGCATTTTCAGAGCTGTGTTTGAGATCTTTGTTCTCAGTAACGGAGGTGGTGGTGGTGGTTGTTATCTCTCTGGAAGTAGGTTGTATTTATTGTCTTTCACTGTGTTTATTTTGCAGCCTGTTCAGGCAATGCAGCCATCTTCTCAGTCAGTCCAATATCCAGCAGTTTCTTATCCTCCCCAGCATCTCCTGCCAGTCTCTCCAACGCAGCAGTTTTCTGTGGTACTGAAGATTTTTTTTTATTTATTTTTATTTTTTTTTCCTTGAAGTTGGATGTGTGAGCATGAGTATGCCCAAAAGTCTCTGGGGAGCACTGCGAGGGGTGTCCCACATGAGAGCCCCATCTAAATCCCTGTTTGCCTTAATGCTTTTGGTACCGACAAGCATTTTGTAAGAGCATTCCCGTTGATTCTAGTTATCTAACCTGGAGGATGATGTTAGGAGCAGGGCTCTCTACCTGGTTAGCAGAGCCTTCAGAAAAATGTTTTGTTGTGCCTGTGATAGGAGCTTGTGTCTCCCTACTTTATGTCGAGAGAGCTTGAATTGCTAACTTGGGCATTTGAGATTCAGGTTATCCCCCTTTTATGTCCTTAAAAACTGGAGAAGAGACCTCTAGAAGTCATCATTTTTTATTTTATATTATTTTATCGGTATACTAAATCCACTGCCTGGATTTATTCCCTGATGATAACAGAGCACTTGGAAAACAGAGTAGCAGCGAATGAGCTGCAGAAGGTGTGCTACCCTGTGCATCATGACAAAGCACCGATGGACATGTATAATAAAAATAAATAGAGTGCTCTTCTGGAGTCTGAATCTGGAATCTGAATCTGGCTTGGTGCTTACTAGGCTAAGATGATATTGTTGTAAAATGAAGCTGACATTTTAAGAGGCACTACAAGATTTTTTTCTGTTGTTTTTCTCTCTTGCTCTGGTAATCTTGTTTATGAGTGATTTTTTTTTTTTTTCCTTTTTTTTTTTCCCCAAGGTAGAGATGTCATGTAGTTATAGTAAGAGATGGAAACAAAGCTGAACGGATCCTTGCAGCTAAAATAATGTTATTAATGCCTGGTAGATGAGCGGTACCATTTAAAGGACAATAAAAAAATGTTCCGTGCTGAACAGAAGTTGTGTGTATCAGTGCTAATTCTCTTGAAAAGTGTCTTGCAGGCATCTCAGGTTGTTCTAGTGATAGTCATAGGAAGGCTGATATTTTTAGTGGCTAATGATATAGTAAAACTTCACCTGAATTAATGTCTTCTTCAATGTACATTACATTATATGCACAATGTATAAATTATAGAGTTTTGAAGCTCTTGGTCTCTATTGTGAAAATCCAGAGACATTCCCGGCTCACTGAAGTTTCTCGTAGAATGGGTTTGCAGTCATTTGCCATCCAGGTAACGAATATCCAAGCTTTTTAAAGAAACGACTTCAGACAACTTTTGTGCCTGAGAATGGGTGTAGGATGATGGTAAAGTTAATAGCGTTACTTTCTTACACCGCTTGAAAACCTGCCAGGAGGGTTTAAAAAGTTGACCCGTGGTATCTGCTCTCAGAGCAGGAAGGTGAGTCTCTGTGCAGTCTCCGGCAGTGCTTCCCACAAACAAACTTTTGGGGTTTTTTTCTATTTTGAAGTTTCCTGCCAGTAAATACATTGTGCAGGATGGTTTTGGAGAATGAACACCACAGGGATGCGAACAGAATTGAAGAGGCTCCTTTTAAAAAGTAGCATGGTGGTTCTAAGTGAAAAGCATTTTTATAGTGCTTATTCCCTGTGCGTGAGGGGGGTATAAGGAAGGGACCATAATCTGCATATTAGCACATGATGAAGTTTTATGCTGTATTTATTGCCACATAGAATATGTTTTAATGTTGAGTATTTAAAAGTCTGATGATACAGGCACAAATGAAGATGCATAGAACCACGTTTGTAAATCTTCGACCTTCACAGAATACACTTGAAAGCATTGATTAGTATGGATCTTTTTGCAAGACTGAACAGATGCTGTCTAGAATCCTTGTATCATTAGCAGCATGTAAGGAGACTTAGGTCCATTGACTTTATTTGGTACGTTCATCCTACCATAGATTTTTTTCTTTTCCCCCCTCCAGTCAAATAAAGTACTTGTTTCTTTCCAACACTGAATAAAAAGCCTTGAGATAGTAACTGAAGGCTTAGCATTTTTTACCTTCTCTATGTTTACAACCTTGGATTTTCAAAACTGTCCAGAAAGGAAAAGGTCTGCACCTGAATCCTACTGAATTCCTCTTGGGATCGTTTTGAAACACAGGTGAAATAACCAGCATGTGTTTGGCTGAGGAGTTCGGTGTTTGGGGGAAGAGGTATTCATAATGTTATTCATAATGTTATTTTCATGCCCCTTATATTTAAAGTGTCTTCTTTAGAACACTGTAAAGTTCACTTGTCACTTTGGAATAAAAGGAGGGGGCGGGCAGGGTAAAAGCCAAAATAATTGGCTTTTGTGCCAAGCGGTGCCATTCACCTTGCGGTCTGGAAGTCTTCGTCAAAGCATTTATAGTGATTTTCATTTTAACTGCCTCCATTTTTGTAGATACCCCTGCAAAGCTTGGCACGTGTTTGAGCTGAATGATTCCTTTCCCCCTCATGCTCCCTTTGAACCGATTTTGCTTTGCTCGTTTGCGTGTTTATTGCAGACCTCGTACCTACATCATTTTCTACTACCTTTTGCCCTGCAGCGAGACGACATGACAACCCAGTTTAACCAGATGAGCTTAAGTCGTCAGTCATCAGGAGACAACCCCGAATCGCCTTCTGGTCCTGTCTACCCATCGCCTATCTTGCAGCAGCCCGCCCAGCAGCCGGGTTACATTATGGCTTCCCCCAGCCAGCAGCTCCCCCCGGGAGGTTTCACCGGTTCGGGTCCGCCGGTGTCCCAACAAGTGCTGCAGCCACCGCCGCCCCAGGGCTTCGTGCAACAACCACCCCCACCTGCTCAGGTAGGCAACACCTTCACTACCCATTTGGCACGGTGCTCGTTGTAGCATCAGAAAGAGAATATAAACAAATTATTCAGATTCTAGATTATTTATCTTTATTTCCACCACCGCCCACCCCCGGTAAAAGCTTAGCAGATTTTTAGGCAGGAGGAAACTTGCAAAGGCTCTATCGTTTCCTGGGTTTCAGCAGTTCCTTCCCTATCCTCAAACTATTTTCTGAACATATGTTCATACTCCAGCGTGCATCTGCACCTGAATGTGAAGGAGGAGGGTGAGTACATATCCGTAGTCCTTTTTCCCTGTATATATACCCAAAGAGCGACATGCACGTCAGCCCAGGTAGTCGTTAATCATATTTAATTGACTTGAACATGTGAGATGTCACAGATCAGTAATTTTAACTGTCTTCCTGAAGACTGATTATGTTTTACTGTTCACTACCAAACATCTCTCCTTGTCTCCTGGGTACCTTTACAGAATATTGAAAGTGATTACTGTCAAGAAGTAAAATGCACAGATGACTTTCTGGCCCGTTTTCAAGGCATACGCTTTAAAAAGCCAAATTTCTTTATCCAATTATAGATAACTTCATTTAAACTGTGCTTTAAAATGATATTAATAGTATTTCTCCTGTTTTCATTTTATCCTTGGGAAGAAAATATGTGAAAAATAAAGTAAAAGAACTTCACCATTTCTTTTAATGTAAAAGTAGTGTAAACCCTACTGGTTATTTTGTTTGCCACTTCTTACTGAAAATCAACAATTGTGTGTGTTAATGGGATTCTGTATTGCCGCAGTAATGAAGAATTTATACTGTTAACATGTTTTAAGTGGGCTAGAGATCTAGTTAATTAGATCACTAATTGACAATAAAAGAAATCTGAAGACTCCTGGATGCTGACATCCCATAGAGGACTGTGACATCCCATAGCGTGCTGTTGGAAAATTAGTTTCTGTAGTTAGAAAATATGCAGCCATTTTTAATGAGAGACGAGAAGGCTTGCAAAAAATACTTTTTAAGGAGCTGAAGTTCAATATAATGTGATTTTTTTTTTCAAAAAAATTTAAAATATTGCTGGAAAACTATGTCACTGTTAGCCAAACGTAGCATTTTTTAAAAAATTTGGGAAGGGAAAAAACTGACCTGAAGAGCAGAATCCTCTGATGAATCCATCTCCCCATCTAGACTATGTCTTCTAAGTGAGTAAGTAGAGGCTGTCCAGGCTTCTCTCCTCATGTGCAACCCTCTCCGTGCCCTCCGTGTTTTCAAGCATCATTTAATCAAACCTCACAACACTTCCAGTGAACCAGATAAATGGCGAGCACCTCCATTTTACAAGCTGTCAGGGCAGCAGGCGAAGCGATGCGTTTCCCAGCCGGGGTTTCCTGCAGGGGTTGCGGCGTGGTGCTGCCTGCCGTGGCGGGGGACCCCTCGGCTGAGGCCGGGGTCTCTGCTAGACCCCCGCCTCGGTTCACTTTGCAGGGGCTGTTTCTGCGGGTTTGCCCGCAGCTCCTGCCTGCGTGCGGCTGAGCCTGCATCACCTGGGGCGGGAGCGCTGGATTTCGCCCCTGCCTGTGCAGCGGGGTGCAGGGCTTTCCCTCTGTCCGCTGTCACGTTGCTTGGTGAGGCTCTTTTCCCTCATTAACGCTTGCTGTGGTGTTCCTGGAGAGGCAGATGAACTTCTTCAGAGCACGAGTGGTGACGAGGTGCCTTTCCATATAGAGGCTGCTGTAGGACCAGTACTGTACTGGTGTGTCTCATGGCCACTGAGTCTCTGTCCATACCCTCAATACGGTACGTACGGGTGCTTTCCTCCTACGTTACAACAAAGTGGATAGTTACCGAGGGCAGAAAAATCTCTTCTGGGTTTGCAGCAGCTGCAGTTATTTCACGGGGGAATGGTTTGTCCTCAGGGGGTGTAGAAAGGTGAGAAATTCAGCGCTGTCAGCTTCCTCTGCATCCGCTGCACCGCACGCACTGTTCATCTCTGGCTTGTCGCTAGTCCAAAGAATCCTTGTCAGATCGAGTGGAAGAGGGCGCGGGGGGGTCAGTCCCTGCTGCCTCTGTCCCTGTACCATGAAAGGGCAGTGGCCTTGGGCTCTTCTGACCCACATTTCAAGTTTTAATGCATTCTCTTCAGCCCTAGAACGTGGCACGGTGGTTTGGATACTACTTGTAGCACATGTACGGCAAATAGGAGATCCTTCCTATAAAAAGAAGAGCGAAGCCTTGGGAAATAGTAGTTCTAGTAGTTCCTCAGCCCAACAGCTCAGCTTTGTGTGCAGGGCAGCTAGACCCTGAATCCCTGTCCTGCCCAGGGCAAAGCATCTCTGTGGCTGTTGGCAGACTCAGTCACCTGTTACTCTTTAGGGCTTAGGTGTTGCTCTCAGATGCCAAAGCAGGTGGTCTGAGGCAGGCTTTAAAAAAAAAAAAAAGAGCAATAAAAATGGTAATGCACGCAAAACATTATGTGATGCATTAATCAATGCAAAAGCACTTTTGTATCTTAAATGTTGCTGTTGAATTTACAGCAGTAAAAAAGAGGCCAGACCAAATGGCTAATTAGTTCCTGTGAATGCGTTGCTGATAAGGTTCTGGTAGGTTGGCTGGGATGCCCTGCGTGCTGTTGGAAAATAGCAGTGAAGACTTGGGTGGAGGTCCTGTGAGTACGATCATTTCCTTTGGGAGCTGAAAGGAGGAGAAAGAAATGCTCTCCAAGCCTACAAACCCAATGGTGCTGCATTTAAATTGTTAGCTTTTGTATTAAAGTTCAGCTCAACGTGGCTCTACAGCTGCTCTCCAAGATTCCCTTTCCCAGTCTGTATCAAAGCAGAAGCAGACCAAGTTAGAAATGACATGCCTAAGAGGCGGTGAGAGAACCCCTTACGTTTCTTTTGCTGCTGCTTTCATCACAGCTATTCCCCAGCTTGACAACAGAGTCATGATTTAACAACTTGAAAATAAGGATCTGTCTTTGTTCAGCCAATTGGAAAAAAAAACCAAAACCAAAACCAACCAAACAAACAAACCACACAAAAACCCCCATTTGAAACCCCCAACCATTATGGGCCCATAAGTGCTATAGAAGAACCATTGGAAAGAGAAGAAATTTGAAAATAATAGAGAAAGTAAAGGTGTATGTTTGCTATTTGTGATACAGAAAGCAAACAGGCATCTGCTGCTAAAACTCCCCTTCAGCAAGGGTCCACATTCGGGTTTTGCAGCACTCTCTCAATGGGGCTTGTCATTGCTCGGCCTCTGCAAATGGAGAAATGGGAAACCTGTGAGTACTATGCCAATGGGAAAGGATATGCTCCCTTAAAAGTTATTTTCACCTCTGATTCATTCTTTCTGGAAGGTATACTGGCAAAATGATGTCCAAAAATGAAATGGCATGAATTCTTGGAGATGCTTGGAGAAATAATTCACATGTTGAGGAATTTTTCACCTGAATTAATTTTGTATCATCATTAATTTTAGCTGTCTCTTTGCAGAAGCCCCTTCCTGGAGAGTCTATAGCTACCCTAAGACAAAATCTTTATTCATAGCATGTCTCCTGTAGGAAACTTGTTATGAGGAAGGTTGGGGAGTCACTGCAAATGAGTGGGTCTTTCCTTGATGATCTCGGAAAATGATATTGGAGAACATCCTACAGTTGTTGTACACCAGTCGTTCCTTTTTGTTACTGTTATTGTAATTATTATGGAGGGGATGGGGGGAGGAGAGGAATCCTTGAAGAATGACTGATCCCAGTCAGTTAGATATTGGGAAGAAATGGTACCTCCATGTGTCCATACGTTGCTGTGGTTTCTGCTGTCTTCACTCCCATTTATGCAAGCGCAGCTGCCATTAGCAATAGCGTCAGCATCACCAAGCATCTGGATGAAGGTGTTAATCCAGGCCTAGCTGGATATCAGCAGTGTTAAGAGAAGGTAGAATACCTGTCTGATGGTAGAATCAAGCTGTAAGTCAGCAGGGAGATAGTTTAGGAAAGTAAAATCAGCCTGGAAGATGTGTGACTGTCTCTGAAGTGACGTGCCCAGTCCTGTTACAGTTTAAATTAAAGAAAATGCTGTATATGAGAGAAAAAAATAGAATGCATTGGAATGGTCAGCCTACAAACACAGAATGTATTCACCTTCAAAATCAGAATATCCAAGGGGGTAAGGATCATCTGTTAACTATTTCCATGGTAATTATTAAAAAGGGGGGATTTGTCCCAGTGTCAAGGATTGAGATCAGGAAAATATGCCTTTAGACTAAAGGAGGCAGCATTTATTTAGGTTATGATCTTAGAAGGACATTTTAAATTTTTTTTTTTTTTTTTTTTTTTTGGATAACCATATAACTGTGTTGGCATCCTTGTTAGTGCAGTGGAAACTTCCTGGGTCTGTACATGGAATATGTTATAGAAGCAAAAGGTCCAAGGTTAGATGTTGTGCCTTCACATGGGAAAGCAATTCAAGTATAATTGGGCATGTCAGTAGGCTGCTACAGAAATGTAATGTTTTTTGTTGAAGAGCTCATAAGCAAAAGTAACAGTGATGTAACGAGAAACTAAAAAATTCCACAGGGTCAGAGGAGTGGATGATGTAAGTGATGCTTGTTATCTCTGATCCCTTGGATTCCACTGTTCACTAAAATAGTATCAGAAAGGACAAATAACATGTTTCAACTTCTGACGCAGAGATGTACTCAAATCCTCCCAAACCTCTCAGCCACAAAAGACCTATTTTATCCATGTCTGTATTTTATACCATACCCTTGTTTTGATGTCTAATCTCTTAAAAAACAAAAACAAACCCAAAAAACCCACCACCACAAAAACCCAAACCTCTTCTTTGCAAGTCATGTGTGCATGACTACTGGCAAATTCATCTGTTAATCTAAGTGAAATGATTTTATTTTCCTCCAATACTCCTCCTACTAACATTTTTCAAGCTGATAGTTGGCACTCTGATAATCTTTTAAATGGGGTATATAACAAATGTAGTCCAGTGAATTGAGAAAACGAGAGAAAGGGAGAAGACCCTTTGACTAACTCTGAGGTGTTATCTGTGTGGTAAAAATAAGTACGTGTTTCCAAATTACTCTGAGTGCTTCAGTGTATGTATATGGTTTTGTGCTAAGCATGTGCAGCTATAAACCTCACTTCAAAACCTGTATTCTTTAGGCTATGTTTTAACGTTACGCCTACAGACTCTTTCCACAGGAGATAATTCGCATTGTTCTCATACGCTTGTGTATTTTCAAATATCTAGGGGCTTGTCTGCACAAGGAAAATGAGGAAGTTGAGGGTAAATCAAATAAATTTAAATCGTATAAGTGAGATTAAGCTGCTGCCAGGAGAAGTTGAGAGTATTTCCACAGGGGTTTAATATTCTTTAATTTGCAGAGTACAGTACCAGAAAATAAAGAATATTTGAGAGGAGGTCTACTCTCTTCCCCTGCTCCAAGGCAAGATCAACTATTCGCATTGACTTAACTTAGACTGAATCTTCTTGCTTCTTTCAAGTCTCCTATCGTGGAGTCTGGCTGAGGGCAGCCAGGTTTCCACAAGATGAGGTTATCACACTGAACTTGCCTGATCCACGATTTACACTGCTATGATGATTTAAAGAATGATTTTGCCCCTTAAATGTCTGGGTCAACTTTCCTATACCTTGTGGCTTTTCTTTGCAGAGAAACAAATTCATTGTGGTTTTGTCCGCTTTACAAAGGCATTTTGCTTTTGTTACTTTAGTCTCTAACAAAAGAAATGACTTGAGGGTAGGCTGTAGCCAGGAGGTGTCACTTGGTGTTGTCTGGAGGATAGCTTACACCATTTTCCAATCGAAACGTTCTTGTTTTTCTGGTATTGGTTTGAATCTGGTTGATACTTATTGGGGAAGGGGGCAAGGGGAAAGATTTCCATTGATTGAAGAGAAAATGAACGGACCTTGAAGAATGGATGGGTATTCAGCCTCCTGATTGACAGGTTATGCTGACTGTCAGTCAGTCTGGGGGTTTCACTTTACCAACACCACCAAGTGCAGCGTTGTTGATCCTGATACTTTTCCCACCACAGTTACCCATTCAGTAGCCTTCTACTCGCCCAATTAGCCATCCATACCCTCTTCTTGCCTAGTCTTTTGTATCTATGGTTGTTCTTTCTTGTCTGACATTGTCTCTAGGAAAATTTCTGATCGATATTCTGCTGTCCCAGCAGTATGCAAAAGGACATGGTTACCTTTACTCTGCCATTACTTTATGGGTGATCAAGTTGAACAAGCTGTTCCAGGAACATTTCCTCCATGCAAATAAAAGTGGCAAAAATAGTTCTTATTTTTGTATGAAAAAAACCAAAAGCATTTGGTATAACTCTGTGCATATGTCTGAGTAGGATAAATGCCACACACAAAGGGAGAAGAGAAAAGTATGATTTATAAAGAAATGGCGACAGATGTGGCAGAGTCACGAGAGAAGCAACGTTCTCCCAAGGCTGTGTCGCACGGCAGTTTGTTGATACCATACGCTGCCAAACTCTGTCAGGTACTCGCAGCATCCACTGCAGCTGGAAATGAAATATTTTCAGTGCTTTGAACTTGCCAAGGGTCAGTTGAAAACTGTTTAACTCAGATGTCTCAGTAATGGCGGTATAGCATGTATAGGAAAAATCTTCAGCTTCAGTCACCCTCAAACTTCCGTGTTCACCTATGTGATAAGGTGATGGAGTACATGTTGCTCTATAATGACAATAATAATAGAAAAAAGAAGCCCACCCAGCAGAACTTGCTGACTCAATGCCTGCCCTCAGCTCCTGCAAGAAAACAACTGATTGTTTTTTGAACTGTAATTATATTCACAGCAAGTGCAAGAGAGGCTTTACAGGGAAACGTTCCTGTAAGGAAGGACGTAGCTGTTAAACGAAAGCGTGAATTTAATAATCGTTCCTTACAAGTGTTAAGGGCACAAACACTCCACCTTTCCCTCTGTCTTGCTTGTATATTTTTTTACTCCAGGCCATTCTTTCCTTTGAATTGGCTGTTTTCTCCAGAGCTCACTTAATGGTTCAACATGCTGTCTATATGTATTATGTTGATATGGAAGGTGTGGTTTGCATCCATTTTTCTGCAGATTTTGATATTTTACTGTGACTTCTTTGGTGTATGCGTGTAGCTTTTTATGTATCCTGTACGTTTTTGTCTCTTTCAATTAAAATTCTTTTTTCTTCTGTTTCTTAAAATATTTGAGAAGAAATTTGGGTACTGATAGCCCTTTTCTTAGCAAAGCTGAAAGCAAGTAACAGTTCTTGAAGAGACACCATGCAAACCTGTCCTCTGTATTACTGTTACCACTAGTATGCTTGACTTGAACTCTTTCTCCCCTTCCAGTTTTGTTTTATTTTGTGAATCTTTGAGCTTTAGAGTCCGTGGTGAGCTGCTGTTCTCTCTCTTTGCAGATGCCAGTGTATTATTACCCATCTGGTCAGTACCCTACCTCAACAACTCAGCAGTACAGACCCATTGCCTCAGTTCAGTACAATGCACAGCGGAGTCAACAGATCCCACAGACTGCACAGCAAGCAGGTATTTACATCTGTTCCTCATTTCTTCAGCTGCTCACGGTGCCTTTGCTGGTGAAACCTGTTGGTTCTGGTTTCGTTTTAAATTTTCTGTTTTCGTTTTAAATTTGAACAGCAGAGGTGAAAGCTGCTTGCTGTTCTGTTTGAAAATAAAGTGAAAATTACAAATTGAGAAACCCTTGAGATACCAAGCAATGGAAAAGCGGAGGTTGCGTTCTCCACTGCTGCTGTCCTGTGCGCGGTGCCATGTCCTTGGTGTCCGTGCTCCACTGATGGGGCATAGAGAGAGAGCCGGGAGGGAACTGGTGTGAGCAATCACGTTGCGTGTTCAAACTGACTGTTGTGGTTTGTCCTTCATCATGCAAATTCCCCAAACGTTTGTAAGACTCTACGTGGTGGACAGGTTTGCAGTGATGCAGAAGGGGCTGGTCGTGCTCGACCACCTTCTACTCCCACCACTTCTGCCCGAGAAGCGACGAGGTGGTCCGTGTGGTTGGTGCCCATCGGGACCAGCTCCCCGCAGCGATGTGCGGCTGGAAGGGGGGCCGTTACACTGTAAGAGAGTGAGTAGCAGGTCTCACAGTGAACCGGTCTCTTTTCCTGCTGTGTCATGCCACTCCTGATGACAACAGAGTTAAGAGGGACGTAGGCAGAGTTGGGCTGGTGCGTGTTGGGGGAGGGCAGGGGTTGTGGTTGTGAAGGGGTCCTCGCATTTCAAGGGAATAAACAGTTCTTCTGGTTTTGGAGATTTTTTTTTTTTTAAGTTGTTGATTGTCTGTTTCTTTAGTGCACACCTCCTCTCGTAGGGTGTCTCAAACAGTAACTCCAAGGTGTATGGGCGGGTGTTGTCTCTCAGTAGGGCTTGCAATTACAGACGTGCCAGGTAGGACAAAGCATTCATCGTTCCGTCTGGGTTTGCCAGAAACTCTTCTGAATGGCAGAGCAAATCCCTGCAAAGACAGTGATACGAAAGTCTTTTAAGATGCAAGTCAAGAGCCCAGACATGAGACATGAACGACTTATGGGGTCATCCAGCCTGTCAACCTGTCGCTGTAATGTGACTGCTGGCAATTTTGTTCACACTCAGGCGCTCAGGGAAACAAAGACACAGCAAACACAGCTATAACTAAGGAATTGATTACTTTTTTTTTTTTGAGCTATTCTATGTTCTAATAAAATTGGTGGCATTTTGGTCAGCGTCGGCAGTGGCTGTGTCTGCTTTCATACCTTCGTATTTATATGTTCCTGAGAGAGAAGAGGGTGAAATATTGCGCAAAGGTCATCTATCTCTTCTGGCTTCTCCTGCCTGACAGTCTGGTACCATATTTATTATCTCTTTATAGTGGGTCTTTGAACCTAAGTGCAGATCAACTTAAATGACATTATCTGAGTCTTCTGTGTTGTTATAAAACCGTATTTATCAGTTTAATGCTGCACCCATAGCATAGTGGAGATTATGGTAAATGAAGTCCACAAGAGATGGTCTGAAGTACTTGAGTGATGTTATGGAGAAGATCCAGCTGTGTGATCTTGAGGAAATCCTAGTTTTAAGGAAGTTTTGTAGCACAGGAGCTGTTACATTTGAGTACAAACAATGCAGAGATGCAAATGTTAATTTTGTTTCTGTGTTTCCTGCATCCTTTTCCTTACACGTTTGGAAAACATGAGTCAAGGAGTTTGTGTAAAATCTCTAGCACGTCAGTCTTGCCCTGCAATTTGCTCTTTCAGCTGCCTGCTTGGTTGGAAACATTATTTTTATCTCTTGTTTAAAATTGAAAACATTGTGACTACAGTTTAGACTCCCTGCTGTGGTGATGCTTTTAAGTGTTTAGCTGTTCTCAGATCTTGAGACTTGGCTGAGAACAAATTCCTCAGGCTGGTTCATCCCTTTGGGCTCAGATACATCCTTTCTTATCGTCGTCATCTGAGCGTGTGATAGGTGTGCTGGGAAACAGCTTCCAGTTTCCTACAGGTCTTACCTTGGAGATGGTGTAAGGATCGTTTGAATTTATGTTCCACTGCATCCCTTGGTATCTGGAAAATAACTAGCTTTCCAAAATGGCACATAATTTATACTGAAATAAAAGAGAAATTAAAGTATAGGAAAGTATATTGTTTATGCTACAGATTTATTGCAGGAGGTTCACTGTAAGCACTGAGACACCAAAACCCCAAATGATTCAGTGATGGTTTCAGGTGGTTTCGTGCCTAGTGTTGCTGCATCTGCTTTTCTTACCATCAACACCCCCCCCCATACATTTTGCTCCTCGCATACCATGTGGCCTCAGCCCACCTGCAAAATTCGCATCTCTTTTAGCTCCTCTTCGATGCCTGGTAGCTGCTGGCTGGGCAGGAGAGGGGGTTTCGCCACCGCAGCGGTTGACCGAACAGAGCCAGTAAGTGCTAGCTCCGACCGCAGCCTTTGCACAAGAGGGCAAGTGAGCTGGGGCCCGCCTCTCCTCTTTCCAGCCAGATTTTTATGAAACTTTAGAAATGCCCTGTCTTTCGGCTTTCTGTGATTCATCTCTCCATCAAACGTGATGGAAATTAGACGATGAACTCAAAAAGTTACGCTGAGGGTTGCTTGAGGAAAAACTGACAGAGTAATCGCACTCATTTTTCCTTCAGAAACCAGTTTTTTTATTAAAAAAAAAAAAAAAAGCCAAAAGGACTTTTAAATCATCCTAAAACTTGTGTGTGACTGGAAAATAGGAATCAACAAGCAAGCGTTTCAGACTGCCGTTTCCCTTGCCATGCAGACTTAGCTTCAGATCGGCACGTGAGCAGGTCGTGGAGGAGCCGGGGATAACTAGGGGCAGGGAGACGAAGACATGAGGGAGAATAGAAACAGAGTGCAAGTTGGGAATATTGAGGACGGGAAGGGGGAACAGATGGGAAGGAGGCAGATGAAAAGATGATTTCTGAAATGGTTTCCCACTTGCAGCTGCTTGGGAGAGAGGGCGGCTGCGGTGCAGGCAGACCCACGGCAGCCCGGGCTCTCCCCCTGGACCTGCCCGCTGGCTCCTCCGGCAACCTCAGCCTGGCAGCAGGGAAAACGTTCTATTAAAATAAAAAAAGTTTGCACACTTGGAGGAGCTTTTGGAAGCTTTCAAAGCAGCAGCAAGGAGTTCAGATCTTACTTTGCCCACTTTGGGCTGCAGAGGTCAAAGTTTGATCTAATGCCAGCAATTTGTTTTCATTGTTCTTAGAAAAGGTCTCTTGAGGAGCAGCGTGATGTTGATGACTTTTACAGCAAACAGCTAAAGTAAAATGTCAGCACAGCATCTGGGGGGGCTCAGGGAGCCTGTACTCCCTCGTGGCTCCGGAAGGAGAGCAGTATTAAGTTAAAATGGCTCCAGGGCAGAAAAAAAGATGAGCTCACCTAAAATTAGATTAGAGCTCTGGCAGCAGTAAGTCATTCGGAGAGAAGGATGCGAACTTTTGTGTGTTTATTTATCTTTGTTGTTTGTTTATTTTTTCCTTAAGTGCTGGCTTGTATGAGAACATAAGTGACTCTCTTCTGGCAGAAGCTTGGTACCAAGAGAGTTTGCCTGTGAAGATTTTATAAAAACCTCTGCCATTTGAATGACGTTCGTTTCTGTTCAAGCCAAAATGTGGTATGACGCATGGTAGCATGGTCTGTAAACAGAAATACTTTTATTTCACTCAGATACATACCATCGTTGCTCTTCATTACACTTCATTACACAGCTTCTGCACCGTGCTTGCGTCCAGTCCTGCGCAATGCAAAGTTTTTCAAGGTGCTGCCATCGAGTGGGGCCAGGGCCAAGCCGGGGTCTGTCACACCGTGGCACGCGTACGTCGTCATAGCTGCATCCTTTGGGGGTGTTCGGGCAGCTCTGCTCAAAACCAGTATGCTCATTTTGCAAACTAGTTGGGTACGTTGCTACTACTCATTTCTGCCCTCTCTAACAGGTGATACTTAAGGTACTGTGAAATGCCGAGTTCTGTAACCACACAGAAGAAAATATTATTTCTGTATTCTTATCTAGCAGTACTCCAGAAATTGCACGTCTAGCATCATCAGTATTTCATTCTTCAGTAATTATCTCTATATTGATAGTTTTGAAAGCTTTCAATCCTAGTTACTGTGTTTGAATAGAAAAACAGAGATATATTGGTAATAAATCAGTAAAGATTTGTATTTTATCATGCTAGAAGATAGCAATGTGTTATTTTATATCTGTGTATATGTATTTTCTTTCATTATAACAAGTGCTGTGTGCTTCAAGGATTTCTCATCTTTAAAGTGCTTCATAAACACGAGCTGGATAAATACGTGTGTGTTACTTTGGGATATGCAAGTGTTCTTATTGCTGTTCACAAATGAACAAGCTGCAACAAATTACATGATTTTTTTCTTACTTTGGTTCATTTTTGTATGTCTGCCTCGTGTTCCAGGTAATTTCAGAGCACAACAGAAATTTTCTGGATAAAATAGTATTTAGATTCTTGTTTGGGCCTAGTTCTAAAAGGCAGTTAGCTTAGTTTATCACAGAGTTATGTGGCATGTGTTTTGCATCAGTCATGAAGATTTTCTTTTGGATAGAGTACAGCTAAGACCTATAGTTGGTTAAAAAATCTTCCAGCCAAAACTTGACACTGTAGTATTTTGAGAGAAAACAAGATGGTGTTTGGCATAATTGGGTGGTCTGTAATTCCTGCAATTATTGTAATGATTTTAGGATTTCTCATACATTTGAGAATCAACAACTGTTGCCGTTGTAACCTGTTTCAGTGCCCAGACACCATGAGAAGGCTCGGATTGCACAGGAGATCTCTGCTTTTTCCTAAAAGCAGTATAGTTGGTTGTGTACAGTAGGCAAAGGAAGGCGTTATGTGAGGAAAGTGAACACTGCCTGGATGTAGAACCCTTTCGTAATAAGTATACATGGATCTTCTGTAAACAGGCAATGTTTGTCTTGAAGGAAAGGTAATATTTCTGATGGAGTACTGTATTATTAGCCTTTACGGCTTCCAGTA